CGGATTTATGTGGTTGTGCTTCACAATTACTATTATAATAACCCCACGTATTGTTATGTCTTGGCCTTTAGACTTCCATGGGGTAATTAGGAGATCTTTTCCTGGGTAGCTAATCTTGAAATTGTACATAAATTTTATTAACACCACTGCCAACAATTAAGGTTCATGCTTTGTGAATTAGGATTTTACTTTTACAGTTTCTAGACCTCTTTGTTAGCTGGAATTTGGTATTGAGGTTAGGATAGGTAGATTGGTGTTGGTTTTCTTTTAAGCTTCAGAATGAAGCTCAAATGCTGAGACTCTGACAGAAGCAGATGAATTTATAATAAAATTTTTCAAGCAAGATCTTAATTGCTCTACTTAGTAGCTTTCTTTGCTTAGTTCAGACATCTTTAACAAAGCTGTATTGTTAATGAAAGGAGATGTAAAAAACCCGTGGGAAGACATAGAAGTTAATGTTTAAAAATACACAAAGTGATTTAATAAGTAGTGTTGCATTGTCATGTGGGAAGGAACTGAATTCTTTCAGCAGATTAGTTTTAAGATGCAACCTTGGCTGTGCCCTCCTAAGCAAAGCAGCAGCCCACCTAAAACTTTCAGTATAAAGGTATTCACCTATTCAAACCAGAAATTGTGTTACACCAGTATTTATAAAGAATATGATTGGCATCAACTGGGATCTATGACAGCTTTGAATGAAAACAGGAAAAAGCAGACTTCTTTCACAGTAACCAAATACAGTATTGGCATTTATTTGCATTGATGAAGATACTTTAGCAAGTGAGCTACCCCATCAGTTCCTAAGTTAGCTGTTGTATGAGAAATGTCTCTAAAAGCAGCCACGTGCGTATTTCAGTGCTATAGACTTATGTTTAAAATAAGGTTTTAAGTGTCCAATATTCTTTAAAAAGCTTAAAGGCTGCATTGCTGGAGTTCTTGTACTCCATCTTCTAAACGGCTTATTCAAATACAGTGTGAAAAACTGAGTGTTGGAGTCCTGAGTATTTAGAGCCAGGACTGCAAAAGGGAGTTGAAGGTGAGAGCCGAGGCTTAGGAGCAGGAGCTGTTAGGGTAACAGTTTGTCAGAAAAGTGGTAGGGTCATGCCTCCTCTTCCAGCAGCAAAGAATTTGCTTTGCTTGAGGTTGGTGCCTCTATCTTGTCCTCGCCTATGAACTACAGTTGTTCCAAGTTATAGTCAAGACCCCAGATGAATTATTTGCATAGATTTCACAGCAGCTGCATTTTTGTAGCACTTCATGAAGAACTTCTGCGTAGTAGAATTGTTCCATTTTGTGCTTTCATTTACTACAATTGAGTTAAAAGCCTTGTCTTTTTTCTATTTAGATACTCACAGGAAAAATTTATTCCTCCTAAAAGCTCTTCAGTTTGTATCACACTTCTAAGCAATAGGTATCCACTCAATAGATATTTTAAATGGAGCATCCTGGAGGGGAATTGGGCAATGGCATGTGCAACTAAACACAGATGAGCTTGTACAGGTTGTACATATAAAAGGCTTTAAAGGCTCTTATTTCACACAGAGAATGTTAGCAAGAAGATCCAAACTACATCCTCTGCAAGCTGCATGCCTCAGAGAAGGTGTAGCTGTGAGATTCGTAGGTCAAAAATTATTTTTAAGACTTTCCAGTAAGGTAGGTAAATATTGCTTCTTTAGTCAGGATTCTTTTGACCAAATAAAGTTATATACTTATTATTTAACACAGATTTTAGAACAGTATGTTCATCATTCAGAACCATCCTTTTCCTTGGTTAAGTACCAAATAATTAATATGTGCATATAAAAATGAGGAACACTGTACTAAATCAGCAGGGTTTCTCTTGGCTTTTTTCTTCTCTTCTGCTCAGACTGTGTCTACCATGACAAGTGGCTGAAATGGTTTAGAAACCAATAGATGCAGTTCAGAGAAGGAAGTAGTAATGCAAGTGAAGAAACTTTAAGAATGAAGAGGAAACAACTTGTCTGTTTACTTCTGTTGTTAGCAGAAGAGACAGGAATGAAGCAGGGTAGGTCATTCAAATCTGTGAAATATCTCCCTGCCAGCATTTTTGGTCTCAAACTGACTTGTTTACTTGAATGACCTTAGTTTTGCATTGGTTTTACTCCAAGTACACAGGTCTAGTGTATTTGTGGTTATTCCAGTAAGGAAATTTTATTGAAATATAAAGACAACTATTGCTATTGCTCCTGTTGCAAAACAGTTGACTGAAATCCCAGAGGTCTCAAGGAAAGCAGAAGTGGACATCATTGTGTTCAGTCTTCAAGCTCTGGTGTACATGAAGGCTGGCAGCCTTTTGGATACATGCTCCTGCCAGCTAAGGGCAAAATTTTCCACTCCTTACTGGGCTGCTGAAGTTTGGGAGCAAACTTTAAGGCATCCTTTGCAAGGATGCTCTGATTTTATAGATGCAAACAAAAGCAGAAAATCTGCTAACAAAAGACATTGAGAGTAAAGAATGCTAAACTTTACAATGCTCTCCACTGGGTATGAGAAGTGTGATGTTGATGTAAGAATAGTTTTCCATTCTCTGCTTAGGAAATCAACCCATCTCTAGTAGCACCTTAGGTCACAACAATGGTGTGCCCTGCAACATGGGCACTGGCAAAAAAAATTAGCCTACTGGAAAAAAGGGGAATTTTTTTTTTCTTCAGAAATAGTCTTAAGTGAATAACGAATAGCAGTGGGTTTTGGAAGGGATTAAAAAAACAAACAAAAAAGTGTAAGTATTTCACATTAAAGGAGAAGGGTTTTTCCTTATCTGTGGGAAAGAGGTCACTGGTTACAAAGCCAGAAGCATCTCTGGCATGAGATACTACAGAAGCTGCAGGCAAGGACTGTGCAGGTCAGACCCATCTCAGAACTTTGTGTCCCTGATTTCTTTATCATGTGGGGATGGGCAAGGCAATTAGAGCCACTGAGTGGGAGAGGGTGCTCTCAAAATGGGAAAGAAGAGGAGGGGGGAAGGGAAGGGACGGTCTGTGTCCCTGCTGCTTGTCACATCCCATTGACTGTTCCATTTCCATGAAGAGTGATGCTTAGGCTGACCAGGCCCTGTCCTCATTACACTAACTCGTAACTGTTCCCTGAATGTTTTATTCTCCTTTTTTTCCTGTAATCTTTGACTACTGTGTTCCTAGACAGACAGAAACAGGGTAAGTACCTTGATACATTTTTGGTCTGCCGTATTAGGGAGCTCTGAATATGTTTTTTTTGCTGTTGTATGTGTAGTCTCCACTTTTCTGTTTGAACTCCTTAACTGTGCTGTGTGTGAAGTTTGCAGCTGAACCAGCTCCAGACAAACGTCTGGGGCAGGTGGAGAGTTGTTTTGGTGTATTTAAGCCATTTGCTCTTCCATAACTGCTGGTGCTGCAGGCAGCAATGTTGTTCAACCACTGTCTGCAGTCCAGCCCTGAATATTTACACCTGGGGACTAGGAGGCTTTTGTTCGAGAAATTTCTTCTTCTTGCTCTTAAAATGAGCAGGAGGAGAACAGGGCCTTTATGAGTGTCTGTTGGTATATTTCCAAGGTGTGCTGCACACTGGGTGTATATATATAAAAGTTTCCTATTGTTAGTGATTGCATATGTATTTAATAATTTTGAAAAACATGTATTTGTATAAAAGAATCCAAACCCAACCTGTCAGCCCTACATCATCTCTCTCCAGATGTCCCAGTTTCAGTTTCTTAATTTTTGGTCTGAAAAGTTTACTCTTGGCTAAAGTGTTCTCTGTTGTTGTCTAAGGCAAATACTTTAGAAAACAATACAATCAGGGAAAAAAACTACAATTGAATCTCCTTTCATATGGAATTGAAAATCTGTGGTTATTCAGGCTGGAAAAAAGAAGGCTCAAGGAAGACCTTGTAGCAGCCTTCCAGCAGCTAAAGTGAGCCTACAAGGAATCTTGAGAGGGGCTTTTTACAGGGACATGTAGTGATAGGACCAAGGGGGAATGACTGAACTGAGAGGGTCAGTTTAGATTGGCTGTTGGGAAGAAATTCTCTACTCTGACGGTAGGGAGGCACTGGCATGGATTGTCCAGAGAAACAATGGATACCCCATCACTGTAAAGGTTCCAAAGCCAGGCTGGATGGGCTTGCAGCAACCTGGTCTAGTGGAAGGTGTCCCTGCCCATGGCACAGGGGTTGGAAGTAGATGATCTTTAAGGGCCCTTCCAACCCAAACCATTCTATGATTCTGTGATCTCCCTGGCTATAGAGGCTATATTTCCCAAAGTCAATAGCTTGTCTTCTATTTTGTTGGTAACTGAATGAGAGCTAATTAAAAATGCTTAGAGCCTTTCTGTGTACCTTGCAAAGCTGAAACTATAACAGATTGGCTAGCTTCTCAGTTTACATGTAACAATTGAAATAGTAGAGTTATGACTGTAAAGTGAAATGCTTCTTATTTCTTTTGGAGCAGTCATAGTTGCATATTTTATAGTGACTGGTAATTGGTCTTGAAACTTTTTACACCTTGAATAATAATTGAATTTTAAGTCAGCAATTTTAAAGCATTTTCTTTTCTTTTTCTCATTCTCTGCCCTGCTTCAGACCAGAGGAAACCAACAGAAGAGTGAAAAATGTAAGACAGTTGCACGTTAATTGTGATTAATTAATTTTAAATGCTTGTGTTTATGGTACTATCATATTTACCTTGTTCTTCTACTGTTGATTTATTTATCTGATGCAAATTAATACCATTTTACAATGATCTCTATGTGCGGCTTACTTTCCCAAATCATTGTAATAATTGAAAACAGTACTTACATCTGCTTACTTGAGATATGAGATGCATCGTGATACTCATTAATTTGTTTTGGTGGCAATCTTAGCTAATACCGTATGCAAGATTTTGCAGTTCGTTATGGAAACATCTCTAACAGCATGCTGAGATTCTTTTACACTGGCACATGGAATGAGAGGAATGTAATTAAGTTTGTATTCGTGTTTTGTTTTTTTTTTTTCTGATTGTTTTTAGGTTTTGATTACATTGTACTGGCTTGGGAGAAAAGCTCAAAGTGACCCTGATTATAATGGTCCATACCTCAATCTTAAAGCATTTGAGAAGTTATTAGGGCAAGCATTGACCAAGGTAAGGAATATAAAAAATGAAGCTAAACGAAGAGCTTGAGGTTTATAGTTTCTTATACAGCAACAATTCTAAACAGTCTCTTGGGGGGTTTAATTTTCTTCTTAGATTGGAGAACATAGTAATTTGTTTTATTTGTTTTGCTTGCTATCAAGTTCCATATGAAAGGAATGATTTTTAGCTTACATTGGTTCTTCTGCTACCCATATGAATTTCAGAATTCATCTGCTCTAATTGATGTGGTAGATTGTGAAGAGCCCTATCTCAATCCTCTTTGGCTGAGATGAAACAGATCTAAGATATTTTAAATATTTAAGAAAATTTAAATATCAAGCCTCCTGTTCAAGCTGTTGTATGTGTTATTGTGTATGTGTTTTAGGGGTTTGCAGTAGTCTTTGCTGAAGTTTGTGAATTCAAAATGTTAATGAGTAACATTTGCACCCTAAATTATTGAAAAAGACCTTTCAAAACTTACTCTTGTAGGCACTTGAAGAGTCCAGCCAGCCGTGCAGAAGTGGGAGAGATAGTGGGTACGGTGACATTTGGTACGTTGACCGGGGAGAGCCCTTTTCATCTTCAGCCACTCATAAAAGAGACGATTCCTTTGATAGCTTGGACTCTCTTGGTTCAAGATCCTGCACAAGCTTTTCATCAGATATAACCTTGAAAGGTGGCAGTGAAGGTATGTTTTCCTCTCTAAAGTCTTTTACTGACATGTAGCTTATGAGTGTGGGAGAAGACAATGTACGGACCTGGTACTTGGATATCCTGTACTTAAACCAGCTTGAAAGTCAACTCTAGTTTTGGAACTCCTGCAGTTTCATTTTGCTTAAGCAAATATTGACCTCTAACTGTTGGTAGGAAAAAAGCACTGCTCACACAGATCTTCCTGGGAAGAAGGGTTGCTGAAACTCTTGCTCTCACTGACACATTTAGGGGGTGTGTGTGGCCAGGGTATATTCCCAGAGTTCTTTAAGGGAAATTGCTGGGAATTAGATCTGGATGGGATCACCTAAAATTGTCCAGTTGTAAAAGTCTCTTGCCTTGTTCTTAGGGTGGCTGTGTCAAACCACTACATCTTTACTTCACTTGTGAACATTCAATAAGGTTTTCCCCTGCAGGTTAAATACTGAACAATATTCATTACTTTTAGTAGTTTGTCATGAAAATAAAGGTAACAGGATTGGAACCCTAAAACAGCACTCTAGCCTGTGTTTCTTTGCTGGTTTTAAATTTCAATACCAACTTGTAGTCCAAAGTCAAAAAAATTGTGAGGTTTTGGATTTTTTTTTCATGTGAACAACAAAATCATTGAGCAGAGGCTCCATGGAGCATTGCTGATCTATGCAAGGCAACATTTAGCCATGTTACATATGTGATGTACCCTGGGCTTCTACTGGATGTTCATCTGGTGAGATGAGCTCATTGCTATATTATTTGCTGTTAACTTGTCTTTGTTAGTAAATTTGTCTTGCAGTTACTATTTAATTAAAAAATTTCTGTGCAGTTTTTTTGTCTTCAGTCTGGAGGCCAGCAGTTTGTTTCCTGCAGGGAGCAGTGATAATGAAAGAATGGAACAAATGCAGGAGGATAATCCAAACCAAATTGAGTTTAATGGATCTTATCATAGCTTTGCCACAGACTTCTAAAAATACCTCTCCGACTGTTCTGTCAGTAGCTCAGCAAATTTGCAGCTGAAACATCTCAAATACAGAGATAAAGTGATTTTAGAAGACTTTGATCTAAGTTTTAGCTACAAGCACACGTCTAGAGAATGATGTTTGTGTCTTCCCTTTCTTCTACCTTCTTTTCGAAGGTTGCGACAGTGACACAGACTCGGAACTGCCTTCCAAAATGCATGACTCCCACAAGGATGACAGGTCTTACCGCAGGATTTCTGTGATTGAACCAAAACCTACCACTGACTTCAACCGTTTCTTACCCAACAAAAACAAGCAGACAGCATACGTGCCAGCACCTTTAAGGAAGAAGAGGTCAGAGAAGAATGAGGACAACAGGAGGAGCTGGGCAAGTCCTGTTTTCACTGAGTCAGATGGAACGTTTTCCAGGTACTGGCGTGTTGTCTTAGTAAAGTGGGCTTTGATTTAGAATTTTTAAAATAAGTTACTTCTTTATTAGTTAAAGAAAAGCTGTTCTTGCTGCAATAAAAAGTCAAGTTTTTGTTTTTCCATGTTTTATCGAAGGGGGACGTTTTGGTGTGGTTGTATGGTTTGGTTTTTGGTTTTGGTTTTTTACTTTTTTTTTTGATGTTTGAGTAATGTTTTGAAGCTGGCCTGACTCCAAATATATTTAAATGGTCTTAAATGTAAGTTCACGAGAGATAGACCTATGGTTTTAGTTGCTTGTTAAAGCTTCCAAAATATAGTGATGAATTTCAGTTGTCCGGCTTCTTGATGCATTCAGATGAGATTAGTGGGCAGTTCTTGAGTTTCACCATTCCCTTCGTGACTTCACTGTCTTCATTCTATTCCTCTTTCGGTCAACCTCAGTGGACGTGACACGAATCCTGTAGCTTCATGCCAAAATAGCAGAGCAGAGTGTGGGCTCACAAATCCAGCTTCCCTCCAGATCACCTATGAGTATGACAGTGGCTCTGATTCAGAAGATGAAAGAAGGCTGCCTGACATTGTTTTGGATGACTTAGCAAATCGTAGATTTCTAGTCAAAAAGAGCCCTGTAAGCTCTGCTGCACCTGGACACCGTTTCATGTTGCACAATGACTCTCCTAAATCTTGCTCGCGAGAAAGTTATCCAGCTGGTCCACTAGCTGCAATGCTTGAACCACTGAGGTCAGAGATACTAATCCAAGATCCAGTAACTATTGCCTTACCTAAATAGCAGCCCAAAAATAACTCCATAAAGTTAGTCTTCTAACCGGCATTTTAACACAGCTTATAATTTGATATGCTTTTTCTGTCAAATTTTGTATTTTTGTCAGAGAAGATAGGATGCTGATATAACCATTTAACTTCTTTTAAATTTTTTTTATTTAATGTATCTTATTTTTTCTGGTGCTGCAGTGATGGAATTGAGAACTAATATGCTTCATTCACAAGGCTGAGCTCCTGAGCCAAAAAGCATGTCTTTTTGCATTCCTTATGTCAAGTTGCTCCTAAAATATCTTAACTGATTGGATATTTTGAACAGTAACCAGAGGAGGCAGAGGCAATTGGATACTAAAGAGGAAAACAAACCAAGAGTTAACAATCCTTCACAATTATCTGGGTATTTTGATGAGGACGAGGAAGAAGTAGGCATCCCAAACATTGAAAAAGATGATCTCTATTTTCGCAAGCTAAGTTCTTCAGCACCAAATACAGTTGTTGCTTTTGACAAATTTCTTCCTAAGTTTTGGACTCCAGAGGAAGAATTGCTATGGAAGAAAATCAAGAAATCCTCTTTCAAACCCTGGTATAAAGAGATTCAAGGGTTCAGGTGCGTTTTCATGCATGCCTGTTTCTCTCCTGTGTGCAAAGCCTAAATAAAGTGTAGCTCTGTGACTTTGAATTTTTAAATTTACATTTCCAGTGTAGCAGCAGGATATGTTTTATTCCTTTTTCTTTTTTCTGGAAACAACTGAAATATTCTTTTGTACTTGAAATATACTATTGCACTGTTGCCACTGTGCATTTTACTCAGTGAGTAGACTTCATGTTTTGTTTTTTTTTCTTTCTCCTCTGCTCATTCTTTGTGCTGCTGCACAATAGAAAGAGATCAGATTCTGAGGATGAGGAATTTGCTTACAAACAAAGCTGTACCATTGTTGCTAATCAACCAAAATCAAGTTTTGACTGGAACAGTAGCTGCAGAAGGGATCAGAATTATAAGCCAACTGCTGAGTATTTGGGAAGCTCATTGTCACAGATTGCAGAAGGAAAAATCTTGGAGTCTTCTGATCAGCCCAGGTTGATACTGCTGCATGAGCTGTTCTCTTGATGCATCAAAAAGAAATGGCTGGATATGCAACAGCTAAATGAAATTAAACCACGTCCCGTGATGTCATGCTTTTTTGGTTATTACCGTTTTGCTGGTTTGTTGGGTTTGGGGTTTTTTTCTCTTTTAATGTAGCCATAAGTTGCTGGCCTTCTGAAACATCTAAATGTGAAAGTGTAATATGCTGCATAGGATTACTGGCTTTGTGTGTGAGCATGTAAGTGTGATGTTTCTGAGCAGGTTAGGATGCCAGGATACCTTTGCCTTGGTTGGCGTGTGCTGCGCTACTGTCAGTGGTGGTGAATGCCAAGTGGTGTCGTCATTCTTATTGGGATACTGCAAGTCTAAACCAAATGTATATTGCAATACGTTGTGATCTGCTTGTCTCTTGCTAGTTAATGATATTTTTACTTCCCTCCTTTTGTTTTATATGCTTCAGTCAGTTTTCGTTACTTCAGGCCCTGCAAAAATACACTGACTACATGTCTTCTGAAATGGAGACCAGAATTGATCCTACTTCTGGCCCTAGGCTCATAAAATGTAGAAAGAATGTTTCCTTTGTACCAGGAGGCAAGCAAGGAGATGAGGAAAATGGATATCTATATCCAGATTTGGAAAACGATGATTTGTTCGTTCGGAAAACTGGGGCTTTCCATGTGAATCAAGTTGTTCTTCAAGACCCCCGGTATTTAAAGAAATTCTCTGAGCAGGAGCCTCCTCTAGAGGGTGAGATAATTCTGCAGCCCAGAGAGGGCCAAACTGTGATTCCAGATTTGGAAAAGGATGACATGATTTTTCGTAAAGTCCTCTCTCAAAAAAAAGAGGTGCCTTTATCAGGTGCTCCCGACAAGTATCACCCAGCACTGTTTCCTGATCCATGGAGTCTCCCGGAAGAGATCCGGTCCAAATTTCTGTGTTTACTTGAAAAAAACACGACACCAGAGGAAAGGAAGAGCAATGGCAGAGTGTTGTCACCATCTTTACACCATAAGAAGGACGATATGCTGACCCGCAAGATTGAATCTTGGAAAGTGGGAAGCAATGTCCAGCCTGTAAATTTCATCCCAGGTCCATGCAGTGAAGAAGACTGGAAGAAGTGGGAAGCAATCAGGGAGGCCAGCAAAGTTAGACACAAGAAACGGCAGATGGTGGAGAGGTCAGGTTGTGTCCTGCACAGATTGAGTGCCCTTGAACCCTTCCCATTCAGAAAAGCATCATCCTGTGCTGAACCATTCATAGAGTGCCAATCTGCTATTTGTTCGTGTCGTCCTTGAACAAGCTTTTTATTTGCTTTGAGTAGAAGCTCATGACTGCAATACCATATTTTCAACAAAAAAATTATAAAGTTTTCTAGTTTTAGGCTGCCACTTTGGAGGAAATGGGTTATCATTCCCTCAGGCTGCATTAATTTCTTTCCATGGTTGAACAGTGATTATTCAAAAGACTATGGAGGCTAGAAATATTTTCTTTTATTCTACAAGATAATAGGTAACAACATTTCTGAAACACATGAATGCTTTAAAGACAAATTCTGGAAATGGGCATTCTGATATTCTTGCTTGCACCTATGTTTAAAATGCTTGTAAACTGTCCTGTCACAGCTCTTAGATGATTAGATGAGGTAAAAAACAAAAAAAGTGTTTTGCCTGCCCAAAGTCATGGTGCATGCAAGTTGTGTGTCTATGTAATATTGAAGTCCACTGTGGCATATTTTATTCTGCCAATACTATCCCTCTATTTTCATACAATCTCAATTAATTCTTTCCTCTGTTTCTTTCCTGGTATTCTCAAAATTTCTGCTGTCTGACTGAATACTGTTTCATAAGTACTTCCTATCTCTCCTTTGAATTTTGTATTTACTGGGGGAGAGTGGGGTTCAAAATGTTTACTTAGCTCTGAAAATACGGCATTGCAAGTTGCAGATCTCCCAGCTGTGCATCATTACTTTGTGACTAAGACACTTTTGTGTTCCAGTTGGTATTTTGATGTTGCTGCATTTAATTTTTAAGCTTAATACTGTTAACAAAGTTTGAGCTTCACTGAGAAATATTTCTGAAGTGCTTGGAAAATATTGCATGTTTTAAAAATTCATTAAGTAGAATTAAATAGCTATAGGATAAAATACTCATATTCATATTCAT